CTAGCACACCTCTTCCTGATAAGCTGTACTGATGCATGGTTGCAAACACACAGTCCGGACTCCCGCCGCAGCTACCAGGCAGCTCCACACAGACTTGCTGGTGCAAAAACACAGAGATGGCAGCTCTGACAGTCTTGGCCTGGGCCCATGTCAGACCACACCTGCTCCCACAAGTGGCTCTCTGCAAATGCGTCGGGGAGGCTCTAATGCACTTCTACTTAGGCCACGATACGACGGCTAAACCTCAGTGTAATGGGCAAGTTCATCCGGTCAGTGTTGGGAACAAGACAGAAAACTTGCCCTTGCGTCCAAGTGCTTGGTGTAATACCGCTATCTGTTTATCATCATCCTCCCTACCTAAGATTTCAAACATAAGGAAGTCCCAAACTCTGCCCTACTTGGTTGTCTTCACCATCCGAAAAACAAAAAAACCGTAACACAGAGCAGCCCATAAGAGCAAAGACAAAACAGAAGCCAAAGCGCTCTGCATCTTTGGGGGTGAGGGGGAGGGGAGTCAGCTGCACGTGTGGAATATAGAGCAGTACTCTCCATATGGTGCCTCACAAATGACTGTCTGCTAATGCTGACCACTCCACAGGCTTTTTGGGTGCCTGCAGGTATTGCAACACCTCTGCATTTTTCCCCATCTGCTGAAAATAATAACAGTCCAAAAAAGCCCCTGAAGATGTAAAGGTTTCCATTAATCTACAGGTGCTTGTGACAGTGAAACATTTTTGCACTCTGAATGAAACCCTCTATCAACCACTAACCCACATATATAAATGGACACTACAACATAAGTACATTGTGAAGAAGGCTTTTAAGCTTGTGATTTGTGCTTTTAAATAAATCAATGCAACTCTTGGGACAAAAATAAGGTAAATTTTGAACAACTGATCTGCACATATTTAGCCAGAATCTACAAAACCTGAATGCCAAAAGTAGCATCTGCTGACACTAAAGCATCCAGGTCACAGACCTCAGTGAGAACAGATTGAGTGCCATGTACCCACCTTTCATAACTCAGTACCTGAAGAAACCTGGCAGAGCAGAATAACTGATGAAAACAGGGGATGAGTCATTTCCTCATTGGTAGTTAAGCATCATTTTTTAAAGATTCTCACTGTACTAATCATGTTTTCACCACTTAGTGACTGTAATCTGCTTTACTCCTCTCTCAACAACCTGTATGGAAGGAAAGAATGAAAAATCATTTTCCTGTGGAGCTATGGGGGGATGTCACTTGATTCTATCAACAGTAAGAATCAGCTAACAAGGAGAGGGTTCTGTATTTGATGTAAAAAGTTTGGGATAAGGTGTTTTAGTCCAGCAAATGGAAAAATGCTTTGGAGAAGCTTTTAACCCAACAGCACATGAAATATGTTTAATCTAGTAGTCTTCAGAGTGCCTTTACTGGTAGTTACAGAAAGCTCGGTGAAGTGTATTTTAGCACAAGAAGGATTTCCTACAGCCTACAGAACTGTTTCAGAACGCAACGATTATCAGACTTTCCAGATATGAGGGTGTTACTAGCAGATGTGACAGGATTTTCCCCTCACCTTAGTGAATCGTGTACCAGGCATGCAACGCCCTGGGTAGAAAGAGTCTTCCAGGTGAGTGCTGACAATCCTTCCATCCCTCTCCACCTCCTCCTTCAGAGCTGTCTGGAAACACAAACCATCCAGCCCAGCCCTGCCCCTTTCCTAGCTTTTCCTTTAGGATTCATGTGCCTCTGCAGTTACTGCCCGTTCCAAGGGACGTGGGAAGTCACTTTGGCTTCAGAGAAAGCTAGTGGCACAGTGCACTGACCATGTCCCTTGGGAGAATTTGTGATTTGAAGCTGGTTTGACAGAGGAATGATTGGAGCCCTTATCTTGGCCAACTGAATTTTCTAGCCGCTTTCTCAGGCGTTCTCCTAATTTTGAACACATAGTTAAGCAGACACAGGGTGAAAGAACATCTCCTGGGTAAGACAGGTATTCTTAGCGATGCTTCCTTCTGGTGAATACACTGAGCCCTGTTTTTACTACCACAGTCCTTAAGGGGATGTGTTGAGACAGTTACTGTCTGCTAAATAGCCTGTGACCACATGTTCGACTTTCTAGGAATATGCCCTCCTTTCAGCCCTTGTGATTGGTGCCTGAAATACTGCAAATGCTGTAATAAAACAAGACCCAGAAAACTGTGTACCCTAAGACATAACTATCCACTTTTACTTCCACCAGTTCAAACTTCACGTTACCTGGTTGATGATTAAGGCCTTCCTCTTCTTTTCAAAGACACTGTGAAAAAGTCTGGCCTCTTCATGAACTTTGCTGCAAAGTTAGGATCGCACTATTGTGCTCTGACCTCTCTCTCTGCTCTGCAGCAAGAGCATAAACGACCTCCAGCCTTTAAGGGACATAGCCAGGCTGACAGGCTGGCACAGAGATGATTCTCAGCATGAGCAAAGCTGTACCCAGCCACGTTCACAGAGATCACAACATAGAGCTTGCTTGTCTTGTGCTGGCTGCACATGCAGACAGAAGGAGGGTATAGCTATTTTAAATGACAGAATACACATTAAAGCAAGTAGAAAGTTCCCAGCGAGTGACGTCAGCTCACGTGTAACTTCTTCCCACTAATCAGAGTTTCACGGGATATTTCATGTCCGGATGTAAGGTGCAAATCACGTCAGGAACTATTGATTAAATTTATACCAGCACTCCTAACAGAGCAGGGGAATAAAAATTCTAAAAACTGCAGATTAAAATCCTGCAGACACCACGTGGGGACTCTTTTCAATAGGTCAGGCTGCTTGTGTTAAAGCTGAACATTTTCCTGAGGATAAAGTGGTGGAGAGAATATGACAGACTTTGTTATCTGAATATGGAAAACAAGTATGCAGAGGGAAAACTTGTTTAGTCGAAGAGCACAGACTTAAGAAGAAAGAAGCTGTGGTTAAGCAGTATTTTTAGTGCTTCGGTTTCTTGACAGTATAATTGTATCAGTCACTTAGCATCTGCTTGAGCTCCCTGTGTTTTAGTCCACCTTTTATACATCCTACCTACTTAGCATACAAGTTCCCTAGCACTGGGGGTAAATAACTTCCACAAACCTGACTTCACGTCTCTTCACAGAAATCCTGCTCTAGCAAGCCCAATCTGCTGTCAATTATTTTTCCGGTGAGGTCAATATTTATTTTATATTTACACTTTAACTGGCTTTTAATAAGGTGAAAGGACAACTGAAGTTTGTGAAGTAGCTTTGCTGAGGCTTTATAGCATGGGACAAGTACTTCCTGAAACCTAACACAACATGACTGCCGCTAGAGTTACCGTTCAACGTTTAACGTGATCACACCCCTTGCGGGTGAGGCTGTAGTAGCGACAGTACTTTGGCAGCATGGAAAGGGTCCGTATCATTTCAGAGTCCTTGTATGTGCTAGATGTTGTGGTAAGAGCTTTGTGGAAGTTATTTTCTGCATACCAGGCAGGCCATGCTGGGCTATTTAGAAGCAAAATCTCTTTAAAAATGCCTTCCTGTTCAGGATCGAAACAGGGTTTAAAAGAGTACACTTGAAGAGGACTAGAACTTTAATGGTGAAATTTAACATTGGCCAGATGGAACATGTCATAGAACTGAAAGAGAGGGCAAAACCTTTGTAATGGCCAGATGATCAAGATCATAGTGATAATGATGCATGAGAAACATCTTTCTCGATTCCCTTCTCCAGAAAAACCCTACAACTGATAAACAGCTGGTAGTAAACTAGTGTTACAGGCATACACCATGCTCAGTCAAGAGTAGGTGGCAGGAGAAGATAGAATCGCACACATCTTAGAAGTAGCAGTAACCATTCTGTAATGCTGCACCCTGTAAATACTCATGTTTATCTCCAATTCCCTTAAGTAGCTACAGCCAGACAAAGAAGTGATAGAAACTGACCTGTAACTCAGAGTCCCTGTCAGGGAAGTAACTTAATCCACCTAGGAAATTCACCTAGGAAAATTTTTAGTCAAGGTGGAAGCTGCTTTTACTGCATGGATCCAGCACTCTAGTACTAGGGCCTGGCTCTATCACACTGATATCCATCTAGGGACTCTTGTGTGGCTTTTAAGCAGAAATGAGTGATACTACTGCAGGTGTGAGAGCCAAATCCACCACTATGGTAGTGTATATTGTAAGGCAAGTTCTGCCTGCTGTTTGGGTAAGTCCAGCAGGCAACTAAGTTCTCTTGTGCTGCTGACAAGGTAGATTCTCCTAAACGCCCCAATGCGAGGTACATCTGAATTTGTTTGAAAGGATGTGAAGGGATTTCCTTTGTCCCACTTTTATTATAGCTGTTGACCTGATCTGGTGAAATTACAGCATCAGCTTCAAGAAAAACATTGCTTCTATCCCACTCTGCACCAAGAATCTGACTTGAGTAGTAAGGCTGACTACTATGGGAACAAATGAATTAAAATGATTATTGAAGGATTCTGTGTTACATATATTTAAGTATACAAGTCATCACTAGACTACAAGCCTTCCGGTTTTATGTGATCATGGTAGCAGGTACTGCCAGAAACAAGACACCTCAGCCATTTCCTGGTTAGGGTACATTGTAACTGCTACTCATTTGAATTTGAAAACGCAATGTTAGGAGGAGATAAGCGTTTGCTGAGATCATTATACAGAGACAGATTAACAGTTTTAATACTGATTAATAGCAGAGAAGAAAAGGTGAGTGCAGTCAGACAAATTGAGGCATGTGACACTAATTGCTCGAGTCTGTGGTTTACAGGACAGAAGCCTCCATACACAGCATTTGTGTCTTTGACAGTTAATTATAACTAGGATACTTCACCAAATCCCTCACGGTTCAACGCAATAGTTTTAAGCATTTTAACTCAAATATATTGCAGCAGCTGTGTCTTTTTTTTTCCCCCCTTGTGACTACATCCATCTTTGAGTCTAAAGTCCTGGACTTCCAAGAGCAGATCAGCCAATACCAGAGAAAAAACAACACACCCAGCTAGTTTAAGCTACTTTAATGGTGCAACTGTGGATTTATAAAGGAGAAGGGTCTTGACTGTGTCACTGCTCGGATCATATGCACTTTGTGCATTAACACAGAGATTCTAACTTTCAATTTGTTTACACAGAGGGGCTGTTTCCAGAGAAAGCTGACGGTCTTTGCTCACTTTTCTCAACTGTTAAAAGAAGCTCCTCTAACACGAAATGTCTAACCTATATTTTTAACTCGGCTATTAAACTAAAAATCTGTACTTCCTGATATATCTGCTTTACCTTCTTTGCCCTTCTTTGTTTCCAAGTTTGGACTGATTCACAGTTGCCTCTCACGCACACAGAGCTCAGGCCTGCTTATTCAACATCTCTACGATGCTCAGCTCACATTGCAGAACAATGAGTAGCTAGGGTGGCTTTACTGCAAAGCTGCCAATTAAAAAAAAAAAAAAAAAAGAGAGCTACACACTGCAAACCAGTAACAGAAGTGACAGTACTTTTCTACACTGCCCCCAAAAACCATAATCAAAACCATAATCATTCCCATGACTCTCAAAATCAGACCACAATCAAAAAGTACCTGATACGAGTAGTTCCTAATACAACTGCACATCTTTAAGTTCCATCAGGCCTACTCTACCAAATTCCTCTTCTTGAAGAGGCTTCAGCATGCCACAGCTTCTGCAATGGTCCTTACTGAAGTGAGGTAAACAAAACTGGTGGCATTTGCCTCACATCACCATTCTCTCAAAGAGACCTGCACTAATCTCTTGGTCCTTGCTCCGTTTTCTTACACAAGTTAGCAGTGCTAGTAGTTCAACAACCCTCACTGCATTGAGGCAAATGCCTGCAGAAAGAAATAGGGGACCTTGAAAGTCTCTGTGGAAATCCACTAATTGCCTCCTACACTCATTACATGCTGTCCATGCTTCTGAAATTATCTCTGCAACCCTGAAAACTACATGCAACAGTTACGGTTCCACAGAAGACAGCAAGCTCAGGCAAGCACCAATTTAATAGCTGCTTCTTGATGTCCGATTTTCACTAAAGTCCCCTTCTTCTCCTCGCTTCTTAAATCTTGTCTCCATGGGAAAAGTAATCAATATAATTGTACTACTATAATTGCACACCTAGAGCTATGGAGATACTAAGACTGTTTATGCAGGGATTTTTTTTTTTTTTTTTTTATTAACAGCTACTGTATACAGATTCTAAAATAATTTACCTTAAGACAACAGATTTTCTTTCAATATGGAACTGGAATTGGTTACCACAGTTGAAAATAGCACAGAAAAGAGGCAATAAACATGAAACACACTTGAAGTGTTGAAAACGACACAACTAGACAGATGACCTTTTGAACTGCATTATCCTTGTAGTTGCCCAGAGAAGTAAGAGGCTTCTTTGTTTTGTCCCTGAAAGGATGGTTTGAAACAAATTTTGCTTTTCTCCTACCTGGGTGACTTTAATTCATTCATAGTTAATAAAACAAAATTAGAGGCAGGCACATTGTATCTAAGGACTTCAGAAGACACGATATTGCTTCAACAGCAGCGTGCACCAGTACAGTTCCTGCATGCAGCAAAACAAAGTGATGATTTCAATAAATCCATGTCTGTTTTGAAGGATAAAAGTGACTTTGTAATCTTTAATTAAAGCCAAATACAGTACTTGGACACAATAAGGAGGCACACAAAAGCTGAGAAAAAGCACATCTCTTGACGATTCTGGTTGGGACGTTTACTTAAAGGAAGCACAGAAACGCAAATGAGAAGAGCAAGCACTATGCACTTTATGCACCACACATCCAGTCTTATCTCTGACTGTGAGCTGAGAAAGGAAAAGAAATACAGGACACAATCACTTTTGTACTCAGAAACACTGCTTTTTCATTGTTGCCTCTGATTTCCCCAGAAGGCAATCATATGAATCCAGAATAAAATAGGATTTAATATACAAAGGTAACAAAATTACAAGATCAGAAACTTTTCTTAAAATCGTCTCCTCAGCTGCTTTGACAAACCACTTCAAACAGCTTTGAGAGGTGACAGCTCTTGCTATGGACAAAATCAGACCTCGCACTTCTGAGAAATAACATTTCTCATTCTGCCTCAAGTCGAGGTAAGACAGGAAGAATAAGATTTCCAAATGCAGAGTCTTGAGTTATGAAGTATCCTGAGGAATGTGCGTGTGCGTGCTGGAAAGAGAGAAACATTTGTTAATGCATAACCCCCTACAGCATCAATAGAAGTCAAGGCTTTCTAGCTGCTCCAGCTTTAATAATTTATTTCTCCCAGCCTCTTCTCCAGCTCTGATAGCCAAACTCAAAACTAACATTTAAGATCAGACACATCTGAATAGGACCTATCAAAAGAATTAACCTGGCCATTCCCTGCCGCTACTTTTTTAGCGAGTCAGATGGAGGTGGGGAGAGTAAGTGAATTTCCCACCGTTTTCCCTCTCCAAGGCCCCATGCTTCTGCCTCTTTCAATAACGAAACTGCAGGCATTCCCAAGCAGATGACAGCTGCACGTATGATTGTGTGCCAGAACTGTGCAGTGTCACACAACTTGGGGCTACATGCACAAATGCTATTCTGTGTCAGGAGTCTGGTCACATGGGACACCAGCCTTCTGCTCCTCTGATGTATATAAGTTTGTTCACCTGAGAAGGATGGCTGCAGCTTATACGGACCAAGAGGACCTCTGTAAAAGCCTAGGCAGCGCTTCCCAGTTCAAAGACTGGACTCCTACATTCCTTCCTCCCGCTACTAGGAAATAGCCAACGGAGTCCTAGCGGATGACAAACTGAACCTAAATCAGCACTGTGCCCTTGCAGTGATAAAGGCTGCCAGCACAGCGGGCTGCATCACCAGCAGCATAGCCAGCTGAACAAGGGAAGCGATTATTGCCTTCTAATCAGCACTCATGAGACTGCATTTGGGATACAGCGTTCAGTTTTGGGCTCTCCACTGAGAGAGAAAAAATGCAGGGAGTCCAATGGAGGACCCACAGAGATGTTTGGGGGCTGGGGTCCTTAATGTCTAAGGAGATGCTGAGAAAACTGAGCATGTTTAGTCTGAAGAAAAGGCTCAGAGGATACCTTATGCTGTCTTCAACTACTTAAGAAGAAGGTATAGAGAAGACAGAGTCAGACTCTTCTCAGAAGAGCACAGGAAAAGAAAAAGAGGTCAGGGTAACAAGGTGCAACAGAGGAAATCCCAGTTAGATGTAAATAAAAGATTTGCACTGTGAGAGTGGTTAAGAACTGAACTAGCTGCCCAGAAAGGTGGTGAACACATCCTTGGAGAACTTCAGAACTCAACTGGACCACGCCCTGAACAACATGATCTAACTCTGTAGTTAGTCACGCTTTGAGCGGGACACTGCACGAGACACGTCCAGAGGGTCCTTCCAGCCTAAAACATTGTGTGATCAACATGTGGGACTTCACTCCTGCTCCCGTTCATTTTAGCAGAAGCAATCTGGGGCCTTTACCGGCTAACACAAACAACACAAGGCACAGGAGACACGAACAAAGCAAGTAGGGCAAGGATCTCAACTGTTTTCCCGTGCCTTTGTGCTCTGCTCAAGTCACTATGCCTAGGACGCCAAGACGACAGCTGGCCAGGTACTGGCTTTCCTGCTCAATTTCGAATTTCGGCACTGAAACCAACCTCACCTGACATATGCAAGATAGCAACAAACAGGATCCTGCAAATGCACAGCTAAGTCTTCCAAATCTTCTGCCTCTGTCACTCATAACTGCAGGGTATTTACTTGGCATCTATTCAGATCCAAGCAAGGTAAGCACTGTGGATAGCTCTCCCTACAC